AACGACCCATTTCGTTCGTTTATCGTTCATGAACGACCCAGTTCGTTCGTTTATCGTTCATGATCGACCCAGTTCGTTCGTTTATCGTTCCTGACCGACCCAGTTCGTTCGTTTATCGTTCATAAACGACCACTTTCGTTCGGTTTTTTTTTAATTGTTCAAAAAAGGATTACATTCGTTCTCAAAATTTTCCCTGTTTTCCATTTATTTCGTTCGTTTTCTCACTGAACGATCATTCAGTAAAATTGTTTGTTTAGTAAAATCGTTCAAAAAAATTGTATGTTTATTTCAAAATCATTTTTTCAAAAATTTGTTCTGAAAAATCTTTTGTTAAGCACAAACGTGTGAAGTACACTTGCAGTATGGAAACAGTACAACAAAATGGCGGTTTTACACTTAATTCCACTCTATTTTAATCTATTCTCTTTGACTCTGTATTTTCTAGCTGTCTTACGCTTGATTTCATTCTATTATGTGAGTATTGCACATAATCATGATTTATGAAAATAAAGCCAAACCATTTAAAAATAATTCTAGCATTAAATGAAATTTAATTAATTTATTAGCAATAAATTCCCGGCGATTCATGATTTATGTAAACTTATCAAATGATTTATTTTTTTCAGACTCAAAGGAACTAAGTTTTTGCCACAAACTCAGATTTTCTAAACCCTTTATCATTGCAACCTGATAGCGTACATCTTTAACATATCAAACTTAGTCTGTTTGATATAATAGAAATTAAAGTTTGAAATATTTAAGGTCTACGACATCGCGTTGCAAAAATATAGGGATTAAAAAGTTAGAATGTGACAAATACTCAATTCCTATGAATGTGAAAATAGGATAAGAATTGGGAACTCTTAAGCTGAACTTTTTCCAGATCTTGACTGTTAAATAAAATATTTTATAGAATGAGACTTTAAAAAATTTCTTTCAACAACTTTTTTCTCTGTTTTAAATTTTTCAAAGATTAAATTTTAGTGATTCACTATTTGAAAGCACAAATTCTGGAGATGTGTATTCATATTTCATCTTTGAAAATTAGAACATGTTTGATCGGGGGTTATTTCTTACTGACTGATAACCTTGAATAAGGCTTAAAGGGACTGTCCAGATAAAATGAAAGGAGGTAAAGGCTGAAGCCTAAATATTTTAGAGTTGATGTCCAGGTGGACAGGAAATGATGAATGTTTAGTGTGAAATAATTGATATAGAAGAATTCGTTGAGCAAATCTCAACAATTAGTGAAATGACGAGAATATTAAGTATTGTATTCAATCAACCAACAATGTTAAATATGATCCCCCCCCCCTCTCCCTAATGAAGGGCATACCTTCAGTTGTATCTCCCTTCTATTCCATATTCCATTATTACTCCTTTTAAACTTCCGCTAGAAACAAGAGTGATGCAATTTAAAAAATTTTATCCCTAGGGCTACACAAAAGTATTAGAGAGTAATTGTGAAGTAAAACCCAAACTGTAAAGTCGAGGCTGTTGTCTAGATATTTGATGGCTAACTCTCAGAAATGTCTAGATCTGAGTGTTCCGTACACATTTGTAAAACTATTCAAATTGCGGATTCCTGTATGGTTTGGACCGGAAGAAAGTGTGGGCAGGGGTTGGGGGAAGTGGTTTAGTTAATCAATTGACAATAGGAGTGGAGGAGAAGAGGAGGGATGGGGGAGATGACTTAATCAGGGGAGGAGGGCCGGGTGTTGTCTGCTATGTGTTAAGGTATGCCAGAAAGGTGGTTGTCCTATTTACTTGACAAATCATTATTTTGTTCTCATCAAGTCTTGAACTACGTGCTCTGTAATAATCATAGGAAAACGGAAAGATATATTTAATCTTTCTTCAAAATATATTTATATTTCAGCTATGTAGATATGTAGATCAAATAACTTTTGTTTGAAATAACAAAGGTTTACATTATCAGCTTGTGAAGTTTTAGAAAATAGAAAATGAAAACGTGAAGCAAATGTCCACAGATGTAAGATCTGTGGAAGACCAAAGTCAACGAAAAGGCGTAATTAAGTATTTCGATGAACTAACTTTTATTTTAGTTAAACAAAACGTACATGTGCATTGTGCACAATGATTGACGCGAGTGCACATATTTTATCATTTCATGGCAAAATTGCGAATTAGTTTGATGAGCCTTGTAAACTAATTTGCAAGATGTCATATTAATGTTGCCAACAATTGTTTATATTTTTCTTTTACTTTGCCAATAACTCAAAAATATATACTTTTTAGTTTTCTTGTTCAACATTTTTAATCTTACGTGGGTTTAAAATCAATTCAAGAAAACGAAATTAAATTTTTTCCATAGCTTTTTAGAAACCCAAGAGCTCTTAAATTAAGTTTATATATAGAATGCATTACACAGGATCAAACCAAACATATTTTGACGATTTTACATTTTTTTCAAACAAGGAAGATAAACTTGAGAAAGTAGGTTGAAATATTAACAAGTCGTCAAAATTGAAAAAGGAATTGAGTCTTTGCCACAAGCTCAAATTTTCTAATCCCTATATCTTAACAACCTGCAGGTTTAATATTTCAAAATTAGATTATTTGATCTAACAGAATTCACAGGTAAAAATATCACGATATTGGGTTTCAAAGATATAGAAATTAGTAAATCATTAGAAAAGTTGAGCTAGTGGCAAAGACTCAATTCCTTTATAGATTATGTATTTTTTTGATAAAAATAAATTGTTGGCCCTTTGTTAAACTTTTTAGTTGTCGAACGTAAAAATTACATCAACATAGTATTGGCTGAAATTTCTGATTCAACTTGCGTGACATTATTTTCCTTGTAAGTTAGTTGTTTTATTTAAATTAAAAATTAAATCTTCAAAATCTCATAGATGTAATTATTGCAAAATTTCGCGAAATTGAAGTTTCGCTAATTATTCGCGAAATTACCTCATAGATATTACGCGAAATTACACCGTAATTACGCGTAATTATAGTTTCGCTTATTTCGGGTAATCATTACGAAATTTCGCAAAATTACGTTGTAGAAATTACGCGAAATTACGCCGTAATAAAGCGTAATTATAGTTTCGCTTATTACGCGTAATCATTACTTAATTTCGCGAAATTACGTTGCAGAAATTACGCGAAATTACGCCGTAATTTTGCAAAATGGATATTTTTCCAATTACGCGTAATCCTGCGAAATTACACGAAATGAAAATTATTACGCGTAAGAGAATAATCTATTACGTTGGAAACCCTACTCTTTCTGTAAGCACTGAGCATCTTCCTTTTGTACAGGATAAAACAATAAAAAGAGTTTGCTGATTTTGGCTAGTTATTTGCGCATTTTCAAAATTTCACAAAAATCAAAAGCTTTTGGATACAACTTTTTGTAATTTTGAGCATCCGTAAATCTACCCTAGGGTCCTACGACGTCCACACAAAATTTGAGCCCGATCTGTTCAGCCGTTACACCTATACAGAGACAGCAAAGTATATATTTATTATTTAGATGCCACAGTCAAAACAATGAATTAATAAATACATAAATTTAAAATTCCGCCTACCCGCTTTTTCCCAAACATTTTAATTTATGGATCTAAATCAACATAGAAAATTTATAATTGTGATATACTAATGAAAATATAATTCTTATATATCACAGATATTATATGGTATATAATTACGAGAAGGGTGAGGGTAGGGGAGTATATGTATAATTACCAAACCTTGAGTTTTTATTTGTATTAATTGTTCATTTTTTTGCATGAAAAGGGGAGTTTAGGGTGTGGGAAATAAAAGGGAGGCTAGGGGGAGAATAAGGTTACAATTTAATGTTACATAATCGAGTTTTTAGCAATTAAAAGCAACGAAAAAAGTGATATGTTAAAAGAATAAAATAAAGCAAGAAAACTAAAAGACAAAAATGTCGGAAAAAAGAAAAGATAAAAACATGTCGAAAGACTAGAAAAGGAAAGAGAAATAAATAAGAAACAAATTAAATGTTTTGAAAGAAAAATATTTAAGAATTTGATAAATTTTTGGGACAATAACTGTGGATTTTTACAGAAAATAAGCACGAAAATGATAAAGATAAAAAATGAGAAAAAAACATTAGGGAAGGGTTAACTTTTCGTCAATTCTTAAGAAAACTCTGCCGTTAAAAGTGTTATAGGTACTTTTTGGTATTCTGTTAAAACATTATTTCCGNAGGCTTATTAGCTATGAACACCCGGAAAAAAACCTATGAATGATGAACATTAATTAATAGCTTATGATAAAATAAAACTGTTTTCACGCTGGATTACAAGTTTAATTTCGACTAATTAGTCGTTTTTACAAATATTTGCAGTTTAACATGATGGATGAGCCTCGTAATATTTGATGTAATTTAATCCCTTGTTCTTTCTCCTATCCTTGCAATAATTTATCAAAATACATGCTTCAAAACGAAACCTTGATATTTTAAACCAAAACTAGACTTTTCGGAAGCTTCGCCCCACTTCTCTATATCGCACTTTACGTTAAACAAATATTTTTGATATTTTTATACAAAGAGATAGACAGACAGACAGACAAGCAAAATATTTTTAAATAAATATATATCTAATATCTTTAGTATTATCAAACTACAGACTAAATATGCACAGACTGCTCATAAGCTATTACTGGATAGGCTATGAGTTGGCCCAGCACGGAATGCTAAATTTCCACGAAAGGTTTTCGACTGCCAACTAATAGCTACTTGTTGCATTTTACAATCATTAAAGAAATACTCTAACTTTTAACATAAAACAAAAAACTTAAGAATTTAGTCTATTTTTGGTGGTTTTTGCATTTCGTATCCAAAATATCCAATTGAATATCAATATCCCTGAATACAGACGTCTATTAATTGATCATATACTCCAGTTGTACACAATTGAACCTGCTGTGAAACGTGTCGCAAATTCTAGCCTTTAATAGATCTCTGTACTCCCTTAGCTCTGATTAATCTGTTTCTGTTTCAGGTATGAGAAAGCACTAGTTTACGCTACACCATGTTGGTTAGAAAAACCTGCCTCCTGGGCCTGCTGGCATGTTCGTTTGGAAAATCCCCGCTAGATGGGGTTAGTGCAACCAGTGAAATAACAACAGAATCGGATAATCTAGGGGATAATTCAGCTTCTGATTCAAACTACAGTCCTGTAAGTATCAAGTTGGACTCCTCTAAGACAATACTGTAAAGTTATATTTAAAATATCAATTCTCTCTACTATACAGCTCGTCTAATGTCTGCTGCTATGGTCCTAGTCTAAATGACGCACTTACTGTTCAGGAACAGCTGATTCCTTTCAGTTTTTTTTCAATTTGCCAAATTTCTTTTTCAAAATCTTTCAAAATTTTCCAAAATCCACAATGAAACCGTGAGCTGCTGACATAGTATTTTTAGCTAGCTTTTGTTACTGTAGAGCTCGTAGATTGAGAGAATTCAAATCTTTTTGTGTACTGTCCTCTTAAACTCAAAAAATTAGCAAATAATACCTTTAAACAGATTATTGTCATTTTCAAGCCAATTTTCAACGTTTTGAGCTTTTTTTGCGCATAAGCTGATCACTTCAATTCGTTCACCCTTTATACGATCATTTTTTCATATTTTAATGTTTTTGTTTATGTTTCCATTTTTCATATAGGGTCTTTATTCTTTAATTTATTTGACTGTTTTTTATCAATATATGTTGTAATCATCATTTGCAAAGATAAAAATTTAAATAAAAGGCACGTTAATAATCATAAAAATATGCAGGAACGTTTTAGATATTCAATATTTATATTTATATTATTATATATTAGAAAATTTTGAGAAAAAAAAACAATTATTCTATCAAGGAATATTGTTCATAAGATAATTATTATATTATATTATTATTATCATCACATCAAATACTAGCTTGGGAACCCGGCGTTGCCCATGTTAGTCATTGGTACTCACGGGCAGCCGTAGTACATTTGAATTTCCGAGCCGGGTCAACCTTTCCGGTCCCAGTTTGTACTGTATCGCCCGGACATTGGGTAAATAAAGCAGACACTCAATAGGAATAGCCAGTGCAACAAGGTTGACGCGGTCAGACTTTGGGCTAAATTTACTTTTACTAAAGGGTCAGAGGTGCGTGTACTCCTGTCATTTACCCGCATTTGGTCAACTTTAACGGGAAACTAAATTTTCGATATAAAAGTCGACCAACACAACTTATAATCTCAAACCCCAGCCAAGAACTTCCCGTGGTTCTCCCAAGTTCTCCAATACAAATTTAGGCCAATCGGTCAAGGGGTTCCTGACAAACAAACAGACAGACAGAGATTACAACTTCATATATCTAGATTATATTGTAACAAGAGCGTCATACATTTCTCATGACTACCACTGTATTTGCGGGTCATTTTTCACACTTTTTTCAAGTTTTATAATTGTGAAAAAGTTCAGTGTTTTCATCATTAATCAAACCAAGCATTCTTCATCAATATCAATTGAGAAATAATTTGAATATTTCTGGACAAAACATATCATTTACAAGTCGGAGATCCTTTTGTGGTTGATTAAATATTTTTTTGTTGAATATAAGATGTTAATCATGCAATATATTCATATATTATTTTGTCACCTTGTAGAGGCAAAAAACCCCCTTAATTTTACTGTTATAACACGTGGATTTACTAGAAGATTTTAAAGCAAGTTTAATTAGAATAGCAGATTTTACTTAATTGAACAACTATTAAGGATATTTTTATTAGAAACGACAATGCTACAAAATCTTGTTTTAGTGAAAACGTGGATTTAACAGCAAACTGAGACTTTCGAACAAAGTTTGACCTTTCTCAACTTTTAAGTTTTTTGTCTTTTTTTCTTTTATAATTTGTTGTCCCTAATTGTTTGGTGTAAATGGTTATTTTAAATTAAAAATATGGAAAAACAACACTTTTAATGAATATGTTTGCTACTATACTTAATAATATATTCTATATCACCCTGGAGTAACCATGGCAAGTTTCGTTCAGTTTCTTCAATTCCGATTCAATATTGTTTTGGTCTATAAATCAACAACCTTTAATCTGTTTTTTTAAAACTTTTGTATCTAAAAATTAATTTTTCAAGGATAAAGAAGATTTCTATGTTATGCCTCCGGCCATTTTCAATCTATTTATTTAATTCAGGAAATTACCAATTAAATAAATTAAATTAATAAATGTATTAGTTTAACCGAATGGAATTATAAAAATATAACAAAATTGATTTATGCACGCACTCCCTGAGGAGGGGAGGAAGGCGGTCCACAACAATTTCTCGTCCGAGCCACATTCTCCTAATTTCTCCGTCCAAGCCACCTTTCAAAATCCTCGTCCTTCCGATTTTATTTTTTTTATAATTTGTAACTCTTTTCTGATAAAAATATTAGGGAAAAAATAAAATATTAAAATGTACCAAAATTTTTTTGCTCCATAAACGATGTTCTACAAATGAGCACTTATATCAGTGGGAAGGACAAGAATTTCGAGGTGGCTCGGACAATAAAATGAGGAGAATGTGGCTCGGACGAGAAATTGTTATGGCTTGTCTTCCCCCCTCCCCTGAGAGACTTGCATGGGGATGAGCACAGAAACTGTGACATATGCTGATATCATTATGATTATTCTGCTTAATTACTGAATCATTATCTTGTATAATTAGCAGAAGTTTGATAGAGGTCTCCGTGGTTTAGATGTATTTACCTTCTATATATTTTATGTAAAATATATTTATTTCAAATTTCACATGAAGGGGATAAATTATTTGGCGTACTGTCGCGGTTTGACTTACAAAGTCTGTAATTGTACTGTACAGCTTGCTCTAGCTGGTTAAAATTCGGCCCAGAACAAGGTTATAATTAAAGGAAAGTTAATTGCAGTTGCGTATATTCTGCGTACATATTGAAACCAGTTCTCTCTGGGCGGAATTTGTAAACAATAATAGATGCATTAGTGTGCCTACAGTATCCGTGGAGGATAAAAGCATTTAATTTTGATAATTTTGTTAATTCACATAATAGTTTCCTTTGACCAGATTATTTCATTGATTTTTTATGGGAAAGATGGATCCCATGTCAGGCTTCGACATCCGTTTTGTGTTTACATTACTGCCCAGAGACAGTAACACTGCAGTACAAAAGATGCGTACACCTCTGAAACTTTCCTTGCATTATAACCGTGGCCCAGAACTTGAAATGAAAAGAAGTTTACATTAACAAAGATACATCATATATTTGTTTGTATTTTTTTTTGAAGAAACTGCAGTATACTTTGCTTGTAAACAACTATGTGTGGGTTGCTGGTGTATTACCCAGGGAACAGGAATAAAGGGAAAGGAAATGGCGCTGGTTCGGCAAGAGAAAGCCAGTCGCACTGCTTTGCAGACCGGTACAGTAAACTTACAAACACTCTTCTGGTACAGACACACAACATGACTACAGTCAAGGAAATTGTAGAACAATGTCGTCGATTATAATTAAATTTGAATAACGAGTAGTTTATTGTAAACTATAATAAAATTATATTCTTTGCATGGAAATTTGGCTTTATAGTGTTGACTTAAATATGTAAATAATATATTACATGTATATTAAACATATGTTTAAGTAAACAATTAACAATACACAAATGTACTCTCCTAGAATGTACAAATCCCGAGATTCTTACGTACTGTATAAACCTACAGTACAAACCTTTGTTACAGTAAACTGACACACACTCTTTTGGTACAGACACACACACATGACGTTTCCGCCCCCTGGTATTACCTTGCTGCAACGGAAGATTGGTTTAAAAGAATTTAACCTTAGATTAATAACAATACAGATAGAAAACTAGATGAAGTCTTTTTCAAATAGATTCTATTACAATAGATGGCAACGTAGAATTTGTACACTCTCAGTACAGCTGTATTCTGAGGTCAAAAGTATCATTTAAGTTTTTGCATCCTACAACATTATTAATAATAGTTATAATTTTAGAATAAAGTGCTTATCTTATAGTAAAGTAAGTGCAATTTTATGTGTTCTTTATTTTCTTTTTTTTACACTTTTTAATTTAATTTGGAAAGCATATCAACTAATGTGAGAAAATTTCGTTTTCCTTGTTATATTTGACACTTGTGCATCGTGTATAATTGGTCCATTTCTCTGTTGCCACCGATTGTATTATAATCACATTGATAATTCGTTCACAATAACCCTGAGGCAGAAGCCAAAAGGAGTTACACGCATGCACTCTCTCTGTCTTGTCATTAAACGCAGTGTTATTGTGAACAAAAACCCCCTAATAATATGGAAAAAAACTACATCTAGTGTTTTATCTGTTTTGTTATTAATATTTTATATTGTGGAAAACGATATTTTCCACCTCTTGAAGTTTTAAATATATTCAGTTGATTTCATGTGTTCTATCAGTTTTTGTCTCTCGAATATTTAGACTTGGTAATTGGTAATCCGAAGATCCTCATCTGATCCCCTGAGCTCCAAACTGCCTTTCAAACAGCCAAATCCGCCCTAGCCTCCGCCACCTCACTGGTTCACCCTTCAACATCCGCCAAAGTTTCCCTGGTTACAGATGCTTCTGCCTCTCATGTAGGAGCTGCTCTAAAACAACGAGAGTCAGGTTGCTGGAAACCCTTTAGCTTTCTTCTCCGCCAAACTCTCCGCCACACAGCAAAGATGCTCCGCCTTTGATCAAGAACTCTTGGGAGTATTCCTGGCTCTCCGCCATTTCTGTTTTGAGCTGGAAGGACGCAAATTCCATGTGATAACTGATCATCTGCCCCTAGTTTCAACCCTCTCCAGAGTCTCTCCACCTTGGTCCGCCAACAACGCCAACTTGCATATATCTCCGAGTTTACATCTGATATCCGCCATACCCCTGGAGTTGCAAATGTTGTTGCAGACTCTCTCTCCCGTCCTCCTTCGTCAGGAATCTCTCTGCCTTCTCCTCTCCCTGCTCCTGGTGCCATGGTGTCGGAGGTGTTGGAGGTGACTGATATCCCTGAG